CAAGATCAATTTACGGAGCAGATTTTAATATGGGGTTTTCTGTGGTGAATTAATATTCGATTAATGTGAGCGAGACCCAACTTGTTGCGAAAAATCACAGACGCCATAACCGTGATTATTACTCTATCTAGTTTTCTTGGGATAAAACCACTTTAATTTCATAGCCCTAAGAAGCCAAGAAATATAAGAAATCGTTAAAAAAAAACTTTTAAACTACATAAACTTGCATGGATACAATACTTTGCCTGATTCTTTAGCTTAATCTTAAAAGTACTTTTATAAAAAAAATACACGCAGAACTAATTGTGTGAACAGATTTTAGGCAAGAATACTTTCGATTTTTAACTTATCTGTTTCTGGTGCTTGAAGTGTCCCAAGAGTCCCTACTCAATCAGACTCGATTTCGCAGCTTTTTGACAATACTTAACGATAACAGCGAACTTCTGTAGATGTAAATCTCGAGTGGCCTTTTCTTATACATAGCGATATGCATATAGTACGGCTAGTATTTCCGGTTAATTGACAGCCATCCGAGAACTAGTGATTAGTTCAATAAGGTAGCTGAATAATTGCAAGAAATTAAGTACAAATCGCACACGTACATAGTTGTAGTTGAAGTTGATTTTCTTATAACTGTGGAGGGGTTGCCAACTGCTCATCGCCCTTGAGGACTTAGGATTGAGGGGGCTACTTATATCAGTAATAAATGTATCAATAATGTGAATGTTTTCAAATTAACCGAATGGCAAATGACAATTAACCCAACCAGTCGTGTGCAAAACAGCATAGGAACCAATATTAATTCGGCTGAGTGATTTTAGGTTTATTCTATTTTGAGTTTGACAATCACATCGCATTTTATTCTACCGAAGCCGCGCGCACAAACAATGAAGTAAACAAAACATATATTTTAATGTTTTTAATCTCAAATTAAGGCATCCATTATAATCGTATACAATTGTTCTAAACGAAGCACGAAAATAAATCTGTTTGCCCAATTTAATGCTCGAATATTTGAGCACCATTGATGGCTAGTATGAGGGCAAAACAATTACGCTTAGCTAAACAGCATTTTTGAATGCCATTTAATTTATGTTCACTTCATTTAGGGAATCAGCTTAAAGTATTAACAACACAACTTGGCTAATTTTATTTGCCGTTGGCAGTTTATGGCTTTCTCTGTTTCTTGGCTCTTGATAAAATCTTATCGCTTTGGATGCACACGGGCATAGAATCATAATCGCTGATAAGCATTGCAATAAACTTGTTTTTATGGTTCGGCTATGTATGATAATGATAATGGGCCCAGGGTGCCACGATTAATCCCCTACCCCCCAGCGAATGGCTTGCACACGATGGTATCAGCAATCTGCGGCCAGATATAGTTCATGATAAAGCCCATATCGGGAATGGGGCAACGAATTACAGTGCAACTGTTTGTTTAGCCCCACAAATCGCGAATCGATGAACACATAATGAGGAGAGATCTACATGAATTGTATCGCCTGATTTTGGCTTTGAATTATTTGCGATGTTGTCATGGGCGCTATTAAGTGTATCTTATCAGAGGCGTTAAACTCTGGGAACGAAACACATTGCGGAGATGGTCAGTCTAGACTTTTAGATACCCATCAAAACCAGTAGTAGAGGCATAGCTATTGAGGAAAATTTGTCACATCCTACTAAACTATAACCTTTAGTTTCAGTGCATATTCTTTTTTTTCGTTTGAAAGATCCCATTATTCGCGACAAGCGTGTTACCATGTTAACTTCTGCAAAAGTCTTTCTCAGCATGAGTCGATGAAATTTAAGATTGCGGGGGATTCCTGCAGACTCATATTAAAGCCTGATATTGTTTACCTATGTATGTATGTAGATTATCGCCAAAAATTCGCACTTTTAATTAACCACCAACAAGGCCTTACCCCCATTGGTTTACGATTACTCCTAATCGCAATAATCTGCGTTATCTATAAAGTATTTCATTGCAGCAAAGTTATTTATTGGGATGAAGAAATCTGGAGTAGGTTGCTAAACAACTTATAAGTCAGTTTCATTTCTACCTAACATTTATTGGGTATATTTTAAATAAATTATAGATAGGTAATTATTGATAGGTCAGTCCAAAAGTGTGCTATGCAATATGATCAAAGCCCTGTTTAAGGACCTTTTTAATGACTTTTTGGGCACCTAAGAAGTTGGTTTTTTTTTTAAGAGGTATCGCACACTTCCTCACATTTCCCACTCACCCATAATGTGCAGAAGATTTTCTTCGAGAAGAAATGCATCGTCGTAGCTTGAGTTAGTCAGATTCTCCGTTTTCATATTTAGCAAACTGGGCAACATTGAGGCGTACATTTAGATTGCTTTAATCTCTGGCTGATAGTTCACGTATTGAAATGATGTGTATATATAAAGCCGATCCGGTTGGTACCAATGAATTCAACAAAGTGTGGGAGACGCGTCCCTAGTTCCTGGTACGCAGTTAATGAAGATCGTAGACGAGGGTAAATATTTGGAAATCCTTCACACTCTTGGGCAAATTGAGTTTTTCACAAACGGTTGCTGCTTTTGTCGCTGCTGCCGACTTTGTTGTTATTGGTGGTGTACATTTTTTTATAATTCTCTCGCCTTTTTGTTTTTTTTTTTTGCCGATTTTTTTTTCAAGCCAGCTAAGGTGAGGGGCCAGAGACACACTTAAGTAAAGTTAAATATTTGCACAAATTAAAACCGAAAATAGCTGAAGCGATGAAAGTTAAGGAGCGAGGGAAAACACCGCACTGCTCAGAAAAACCGAAGCGAACCGAACCGTCGGCAATTGGTTCGATACGATATATATTGTATATAGATATATATCTATTTACATGCGAGCCGCTTAAGTAAATAAATAAAAATTGGACGGTGGGCAGAATTGTTTAAGAATATCACAGTTATTTTCGCGAATCCTTTTCCTATGCCGCACAGGTGCTCTTGCAAAATGTTCCGAGTGGCAAGTTGGTAGTTCAAGCCGGCTTGTCTCTATCTATTTTATTGTTGGTAGAAAGGTAAAAGGGTGTGAGCCTGCGGCGCCTGTATTATTACCGCCTAGTGCAAAACACTGACTAAACCTCAAATAATGTTCTCAACACGTACTAACTGTCTTAATATTATTTGTTGTAGATATAGAAGCCGACGGCCCCGACGAAGCGACTACGAAAGCTCTGGATCGCTCGGCTGGCTCGAAGCTGACCGAGCCCAACGATCGTACAGAAACTTTAATAAATATAATTCTGGCTATTCTGACTAGACTGTTGTTGTTGGCACCGTGATTAATAATATTGCAGCGCAGCCGTCGTCTTGGCAAAATTGTTAACACTTCAGCTCGGATCGGATCGTATCGTATCGGATCGGATCGAAACGCTCGGATCGTTCGGATCGGTGGGATTGCTCGGATCGGCTTGGATCGCTTTCGATCGCCTCGAATCGGGGGCATGCGCATAAGATCGACGCGCTAGTACCGCCGGTCTTATCAGACTAGATTAAGCGGATTCCACTCACACGAACGCACTCCGCTCCGTATATAATTCAAATTGTTTAATGGCACATATAATAAAACCATATCTCTGTGTATTTGTTTTCGGTGCTTTGTGTGCTTTTGAGCTTTTATTAAATAAATAGTTGTTTTTTCACAGTTTAGGAGATTACCAAAAGTTGGCCACTCCGAAAAAACAATCTTCAGTTCCAGCGCCCCTGATTCGGATTTTAATAATTCAGTCCTAATCCTTTGGACTTCCAATGATTTTTAAATTTGAAGTGAATTGACTTTATATATTAAATTTACTTTTTTCTATCTTTATTTGAGAGGATAATAAACTTAGATAATTACAACGTGTACAAGTGACGTAAGCAAATATATAAAACCTCACTTTTCACGGATTACATCTGAAGATCTCACTTGCTTTTCCTAATCTGATAAAATGGTTAAGTTCTTCAAACACTCTTAGCTTGCTTTAACAACCTAAGAGCTTTCTAGCCTGGGTGAAATGTGTTTCTCTATTATTCTATTTGTAGATCACTTCACTTTCAGCTTGGCAAACAGGCAGTCTGGTATCTCCGTAGTTTCTTATCAGAGCCGGAGCTGCAGCGCCTGGTCGCCTCAGACAGCGACGCCGACGGCGACGGCGACAGAAAGAGATAGAGATTCAGATATATTATATAGGGAGGCATTATAGTGGGTCGTTGTTTCTGATTCCATAGTCTTGGCTGAGTCGATTAGTAAGCGGCAAGGCATCCGCTACTCAGTCGCTTATCAGTGGAATGCTGAAAAATCAGTCGGAAAATTCCGATTTGCCAGAGATACTGGAATAGTGGAAAACCGATGACGGGTGGGGTGGCTCTTGAAATGACTTGTTTGGCTTTTCGGTTTCTTGGGCCGCCGCGCTGATTGATACTTCTGATTCAATTGAATGTAATTCGCTGTCATTCAACACCAACGCACCATGCACAATCGCAGTCAGCTGGTCGTCGCCAGCCGTACTTTATACGCCGGAATTTCTGTGACGAAACGGAGCTCCACGCCAGCCCCAGTTGCCCACTCACGGTGCACTTTGGATTCGAATGAGGAATCCATTCCGAATGCCGCCCGTTTGGCGTCATCATCGGCCACCACATAAATGTTGGGCTTGCGGAAACTTGATACGATTATGATTCGTTGATTCTGGGGGCAACAAAGGGGTTCAGTTGGCTAACTGCTGTTCGCAGCTCATTTTAATTAGTTTTAAATTAATTAATACAGATAGGTAACCAATGTTTTTAGCTACTTTTAATCTTCGTTTGAAATAGATTGGGTTTCTTCATTATGAAGAGCTCTTAAAGAAAGTGGCCTCTTTAAAATCCCTCTTTTAATACTCATACTTATTTCTCGATAGGCCCTATTTAACTTTAATTAAACTTATTTCCATATGTAAAAGTTATTCTCACCAAAAGAACCGATTCTGGCCTCCCTCTCATTCTGCGGCATTGATGCAAAACATCATCTGGATGATCCCTCGAAATGGGGTTGAGCGATTGCATTAAGTGCAATTACAAAATATGTTTACCAGCACCCATCTGTAATCTGTGAGACCGACTGTATGGTACGGAGAGCGAGCGATCAGGACATGACGCATATGTTTTGGTTTGAATGCAGCGGCCAACTTATTCGATTCAATCCGATCCGATTTGGGTAGTGAGTCACAGTTGCACACAACAAGTGTTGTCCCCACAATCGTGGATCCGAATTCGAATTCGAATCCAGCAACTCCGGCAGTTGCTATCTGAGAGATACATTTCCGGGGGTGTGGTGGTGATGAAAATAATGCATTTAGCCGGAGAAAAAACGCAGTAAGTGGAAAACAACGGGCACAGAGATAGAATTGAAATAAAATGCATGTCATGTTCGTGCTGATGGCTGTCGCTTTTCCCGGCCACATGTGGCGACCCTTGCTGGCGTGCAATTTCCAGAGAATTATGAAAATTAGCCAAGCCGAAGGCAAGCTGCCATTTCATTTCTTCGCTCGATCTTCAGCTGGTGCGGTGCTTCGTTAAGTGAGTTTTGTGCGAAACTTATTATTTTATTTGCATACATTTTTATAGAGACAACACACCGAAGAACGAGCCATGGGACATGGACATGGCTCACACATGTGATTTGCATGTGCGGTTCGTCATCGCCTTCATGACGATCATCATCACGATCACTCGCCGTCGCCTGACAGCCACATATGAATGCAATGCAATGATGACGATGGCAATAATGACGATTGTGGTAGGTTTTCATAATGTTTGACTGCAATTTACTATTTACACTTCATTTAGCGGCGACAACTTTAAGTGAAATGTGTCCACATGGCCTGAGTGGTTCGCTCGCTTTCCCGCATCTGTGAGATACTCGCCTCGGCGATTCTCCTGCGTGAAACAATAAGATATAATAAGCATCGCAATTGAATAAAGCTGCCCGCAGCTCCAACTAATTGGAGAATTAGCTCAAGTGTGAGGATAGTCCAGCCAAGTGGGTTGTGTAAGGAGTGAGCCAGTGAGAGGAAATGGGTTCACTGAGGACTACTACTAAAAGCCGATGACACTCGACGCGGAAAGCTTTTCCCCAAATCCCCATTATGTAATGCAACTTTAGTTTCAAAGATTCTGTAATTGCCAGGCTTTACTATGCATTAAAAACAAGGTAACATGCTACAGTCGAGTTCCCCGACTATCGATACCCGTTAATCAGCTAGTGAAAGTGCAGACGAGAAATTTCAACATTTTTTGGAACATCAGTAGAAATTGGGGAACAAATAATAATATGAAAAAAAACTTAAATATTTTTAAAAAGTGTAGGCGTGGCAAAAAGTTTTTTGCAGATCTATAGAAAAATTTTAAATTTAAATATATAAAAAAATTGATAAAACAAAAATTGAAAAGCCGTTTTTTTAATTTTTTTGCATTTCTACTACATTATACATCAGAAAAATGACAAAAATTGAAAAAAAAAATTGATTTCTAAATTTGAATGCAGATTTTTAGAGAATCGCGCCAGAAACATTTAGAGGTATGCCACTTCAAAATCCGATGAAGGAAAGTTGAGTTATGGAGCTTAGAACTTCAGCCTTGGGACATTTTTTCATTTTTTTCAATTTCTACAATTTCTACAATTCTACAATTTCTACATCATACATCAGAAAAATGACAAAAAAATTGAAAAAAAATATGTTTCTAAATTTGAATGCAGATTTTTAGAGAATCGCGCCAGAAACATTTAGAGGTATGCCACTTCAAAATCCGATTAATATAAGTTGAGTTATGGAGTTTAGAACTTCAGCCTTGGGACATTTATTAACTTTGTTCAATTTCTACATCATAACATCAGAAAAATTACAAAAAAATTGAAAAAAAATATATTTCTAAATTTGAATGCAGATTTTTAGAGAATCGCGCCAGAAACATTTAGAGGTATGCCACTTCAAAATCCGATTAAGATAAGTGGAGTTATGGAGTTTAGAACTTAAGCCTTGGGGCATTTTTTAATTTTTCTCAATTTCTACAACATCATACATCAGAAAAATGACAAAAAAATTGAAAAAAAATATATTTCTAAATTTGAATGCAGATTATTAGAGAATCGCGCCAGAAACATTTAGAGGTATGCCACTTCAAAATCCGAATAATATAAGTTGAGTTATGAAGTTTTGAACTTAAGCCTTGGGGCATTTTTTAATTTTTCTCAATTTCTACAACATCATACATCAGAAAAATGACAAAAAAAATGAAAAAATATATATATTTATAAATTTGAATGCAGATTTTTAGAGAATCGCGCCAGAAACATTTAGAGGTCTGCCACTTCAAAATCCGATGAAGGAAAGTTGAGTTATGGAGCTTAGAACTTCAGCCTTGGGACATTTTTTCATTTTTTTCAATTTCTACAATTTCTACAATTCTACAATTTCTACATCATACATCAGAAAAATGACAAAAAAATGAAAAAAAATATATTTCTAAATTTGAATGCAGATTTTTAGAGAATTGCGCCAGAAACATTTAGAGGTATGCCACTTCAAAATCCGATGAAGGAAAGTTGAGTTATGGAGTATGGAACTTCAGCCTTGGGACATTTATTAACTTTGTTCAATTTCTACATCATAACATCAGAAAAACTACAAAAAAATTGAAAAAAAATATATTTCTAAATTTGAATGCAGATTTTTAGAGAATTGCGCCAGAAACATTTAGAGGTATGCCACTTCAAAATCCGATGAAGGAAAGTTGAGTTATGGAGTATGGAACTTCAGCCTTGGGACATTTTTTTATTTTTTTCAATTTCTACAACATCATACATCAGAAAAATGACAAAAAAAATTGAAAAAAAATATATTTATAAATTTGAATGCAGATTTTTAGAGAATTTCGCCAGAAACATTTAGAGATATGCCACTTCAAAATCGGATTAAGATAAGTTGACTTATGGAGTTTAGAACTTCAGCCTTGGGACATTTCCTAAAATTTAAAAAAAATTTTAAATTTATGGAGTCTTGGAGTTTAAGACTTCAGCTAGAACTACTCAGCTAGTGGAAGTGCGATATATCTTGGCCACTTTTGCATTGACCACCATTGATGTTATGTGTACTAGCAATATGAAACTGGCTTATCTGGCGGTCATTCTCAGTTTTTATTACCCCATACATGCATGTACATATACATATATGCTAGACGATTGCGAAACGGCTCTAGACCTCAAGCAAAGTGGCATATTTGTTTACTTTATATCGCATGTGACGCAAGGCACTTCTTGCATTATCTACCATGGAAATTAATGAATGTCCAAAGCGGATATCATATAAAAAGGCACAATAGTACAGACCTATGTGGGTTACTCTGTTAGTTCGTCTACCAATGCCAATGCGACTATTTCATCTTAGATAGCGGAAAACAGTATTTTTAATTATGCTTGACCCAAAATCAAAAGAACCTTAACAGAAATAAAAAGCCTCAATGGATCGCAGAACGGCGGAGATTCGCGAAGGCGAATATAAATCAATGGAGTTCGTGTCTGGGCGATAACCCCCATATCATATCAGTTGGATGGGAGAGTCGGTCCTCGCTTTATATGTACATATATATGTATAAATATATGATAGATGTAGGCCCGGGCCCCTGATCCTCTGCCATGCATAATGCCGGGCAATAACAGGAGGCATAAATAGGTTCGAATTTGCCTACAACTGTGGGTAAGGTGAAACAAGAAAGTAAATGCACATCGACTAAGGTGACACCACATAAGCCCCTTTAAAAAAAAGGCTGAGCTAAAGCTATAGACAGTCGGGCTGATCGTCTCTATAAATATTCAACAACTTGGAGACGTTGCTGGCTTGTAAGCTGGGCATATACGTACATATAAGCCACAGTATTTAGTCGCCCCGTGTGTTTGCCATTGCGCATACTTAACCCTTTGGGGTTAAGTTAAACATTACGATTACGTTTCACGTCGCTTAAATGTTGTGCGCGTTTTCTTTGTTTTTCTCAGCCCTATTTACTCGCCGTCTTGATTTTTCGGTTCCCCCGTTTCAATTGTAACTTTAATTCCGTCATCAGCGGTTGCAAAAGGCGATACAGGGCCAGCAAATTTTCCTAATCAATAAAGAAATTATAAACATTTATAATGATTGCAGGCTTATCGGTGGAAACGCGTTCTTATCAAGGCCATGGCGCTCTATTTATAATACCACCACAGGTCTACCAATATCAGACATGATTTTGCCACCACACGTGGCACGTGTTCAACGACTTCTCGGTTTACTGAACACAACCAATTTATGAAATTATTTTTAAGTCGCATTAACATGATATCACATATTTTTTAAGTTAACTTTTCTGTGGCGTCTGTGTGATCCAGAGACAAGATCTTACAGATATACCATTATATCTACATAGGCTTTATCTGAGATACTACGAGTATAATTGCACACTTACCGGGATCATGCAACTCCTGCTCCATTTTCTCCACCTTTTTCACCTTCATTAGCTGCTGGCCATCCGTGACACTCAGATCCTGCGGATGCTTCATCGTACACGGGTTACTTTTTATTTACAAGTCGGTCGGGGAGATCCAATCACATAGTCATATAGTAATGCCCGGCAACTGTAAGTGGAAAAGGCAATCGATAAGCTGTCGTATATCAATCTACTACTGGCTAAACACACACAAAAGGCAAGTCGAACATATTAAATTTTTAATGATGGCCCGCTAATCGAGGGAAGTATCGCCTGTAAATCTACAAAACTGTATATACAATATGGGTGTTTGTCGTTTGTGCATACAATGTAGGTGTCAACTCGAGTGGCCGACAACCAAACGCTTCACATTACAAGGCCCCCATCGGATATTTTTGGTGGGGAGGAGTCATTTGCTTTACGATCCCATATCAGCAATATGCCGGACACACCTGTACTAGGGACAGCGCTTATGGGTATTTGTATAAAGCAATGCTATGTACACTCCCCCTTCGAATATCAAAACTGTCCAAAAGTTAATACGTAAGCCTCAACAAATACCCGAAATCATAATCTTCAATGCTTTATTGACTAGCAGATAAAAAACACTCATGCCCGCAAAAAAGGTAAAAGTCAGAAAGGTAAAAAAAGAAAGAGTATTGACTGTTTGCCGATAGTGCCGAAACAGAATTTCTGATTATCGGGCGTTTATTGTTTCTCTTGCCCATTTACCATTATGCGAATTTGTTTTTCTCCCCCGAGTTTTTGCGATTTTCGCTCGAGTGCCAGAAAGGCCGATAAGCCCCATGGGCTCTACGGTCTCTATCGCACTGGGTACCCTTGTATCTCTCGATTGTTTCTCCCTGTTATCGCTTATCGTGGGGCTGCTGACGCAGACCCCCTCGTCTGCATTGTCAATTCGTGACCTTTAAACCCTTGTGACTGCGTGAGTCGCTGAACTACACAAACAGAAATGTTTAATAAGCTTCTAAATTTGCGGGTAAAAGCTGATATACTGTGTATACCCTAGGGATCTGGATCCATAAAATAATACAGTCCTAGTATAGGTTGCAAATTTTAGTCGCAAATGTAGTTTACCCTATAAGATAGATATGTATCCACATATTTACTTTATAAATGTAACATCGCGTCAGGTCTTCTTAGAAATAGACTTCATTTTGAGGTCTCACAACTAACGACTAGACTCACTCACAACGCTCGCGTTTACAGTTCAAATCGATTGTGTAAAATATTTTATTTGAAATACCCATTTTTTTGGAATTTTAAGACCAAAGACAAAATTGAAAAATGTGTTCACGCGATGCGGCGTCAAATCAATTGATCGACTACAAGAACAATGACTCCGAGGTGCAAAGGGAGATCACAACATCCAGTGGGAATCCAGTTGGCGTCAAGGATGCCATACAGACGGTGGGACCAAGGGGTCCTGCTTTGTTGCAGGACTTTCAGTTCATCGACGAGGTCATGCACTTCGACTCGGAGCGGATTCCCGAAAGGGTGGCCTACGCCAAGGGAGCCGGCGCATTTGGGTACTTTGAGTGCACCCATGACATTTCCAAATTCTGTGCGGCCAGCATATTCGATAAGGTTAGAAAACGGACTGCCATCGCGATGAGATTCTCGGTGGCCTGTGGGGAACCGGGTTCTGCGGATACGGTGCGTGAACAGCGTGGATTTGCCGTCAAATTCTACACGGACGACGGCATCTGGGACATTGTGGGCTGCAACATGCCCGTGCATTATGTCCGGGATCCCATGCTGTTCCCCAGCCTGGTCCATGCCCAAAAGCGCAATCCGCAGACCCACCTTAAGGATCCGGACATGTTCTGGGACTTCATGACCCTGCGCCCGGAAACCCTTCATGCCCTGCTCATGTACTTCAGCGATCGGGGTACTCCGGATGGCTATCGCCACCTGCACGGATACGGAGTGCACACCTACCGCATGATCAATGCCAGTGGAGAAACGCAGTATGTTCGGTTCCACTTCAAGACGGACCAGGGCATCAAGAACTTGGACGCCCGACGATGCGAGGAGCTGATGTCCCACGATCCGGACTATGCCATCAGGGATCTGTACAACTCGATCAAGAAGGGCAACTATCCCAGCTGGTCCATGTACATTCAGGTAGGAATCATTTGAGAGAATCTTTGAGAGCGTTGATCGTGATATACCTTAGCGCAAAGAACACGATCGAGTGCAGACTTGCTATATCAACTGATGTTATCATCCTCCAAGAAATTATGTATATTTGGTATACTGAGATTTTCTTCATTTACAACCACTAGGTGATGCTCAACGAGGAGGCGAAAAAGTGTCGTTTCAATCCGTTTGATGTGACCAAGGTATGGCCCCAGAAGGACTTCCCTCTGCTGCCAGTTGGCAAACTAGTCCTCGATCGCAATCCCACCAACTATTTCACCGAGGTGGAGCAACTGGCCTTCAGTCCGGCCCACATGGTACCGGGCATCGAGCCATCGCCGGATAAGATGCTCCAGGGTCGCCTCTTCGCCTACGGAGACTCGCAGCGCCATCGCTTGGGTGTGAACTATATGCAGATACCGGTGAATTGTCCGTATCGCGTGAATGTTCGCAACTTCCAGCGGGATGGTAGAATGACAGTGACTGACAATCAGAACGGGGCACCCAACTACTTCCCCAATTCGTTCTGTGGACCTAAGGAGAGTTCGCGGGCTTTGGGCCTGCAGACGTGCTGTCCCTTGAGCGGCGATGTCTATCGATTTATGAGCGGCGACACCGAGGATAATTTCAGCCAGGTCACTGACTTTTGGACCTACACCTTGGATAACTGCGGCCGGAAGCGGCTAATTCGCAATTTGTCCGAGCATCTGACCGAAGCCAGCCAGTTCCTCCAGGAGCGGGCAGTGAAACTGTTCACCATGGTGCACTCCGATTTCGGGAGACTGATGACGGAGGCCCTCAACACGGCCAGGATTTCCAAGTTCTAGGATGTATTGACACACTTCAGTAGACAATGGTCTTTTAAAATACTTTTAAATTATTGTTTCAAAAATTTGTTTTTGGATCTGGTCAGACTTTCAAAATGTGCCCCAACTGAAGATTAAATGAGAAATTGTATTTGAATCTGTATTTGAGATTGATACTTGAAATCGTTGTGGGCTATATGTATATTATATGTATATATAAAGTGCGAACATTATAGCATTAACGTACATTTTTAAAATACAAATATTAAATATTTGTGGATACATTAAAATGGTCAATAAATGTATTTCAACTTCATTTACTTAGCATACTTTCAGGAGTTGACCTTGACTACTGGGAAATTATCGCCGCTAATCTGGTTACCCAACGGATCTGCTGGCTGTGATTATCCAACCCGGATGATAATGCCCCCATCCCAACCCATCGAGATCTGTCATTAGCTAGCCGCTCTGTTTACATGCTGCACACGTGTCTGGGCGTTCTGCGCTTGATTGAATTCGCCGAAGTACAGTGCGTTTCGGCATAAAAGGGCTTGATTTAAATGTATTTATTTAATCTCAAAATGTATGGTTCCATAATGGATTGCATGCCCAGATTGTTTACTCTTTAGTTGGTCATTTATTACTGAATATTAATATTATTTTAAATACTGTAAACTGTTTGCTGTAGAGATCGCTAATACTCTTATTCCACAAAATACTTTTCTAGAAGATAAACAGGCCGTTTAAATGCTGAATATGAAATGCCCACCTGATCATTATGCAATGTCAATGCATCCCTTCGTACATATATGGTTTGTAATTTAAGGGGCCTACCATCGTTACGATTTTGTAACGTACTGTATATTAATCCGAAAAGCTTGTCCAACTGAAATGCTCAGCAAATAGCCGCAGCAAATGTTGCCAACTGGTTGAGTTAAGCGACTTGAACGCAGTAACTAAGAACTTAATAAACTTACTTAAAGCTCAATGGCCAGACGATGTTCTAACTATCTGAGTTGTTTCTGTTGTTGTTGGTGCAGCTGCAGGGCTTTTTATCAGCGACGGCTGCTGCTGTGGTTTTTGTAGTTGCTTTTCGAGTTGTTATTGTTGAGTTGACCGCATGAATGAAAGCGAATAGGAAAAAAAGGCAGACACACACTTGTTGATTTCTTTATGCGATTTTGTGGCTCGTTATAATAATATAACGTTTCTCCGTATTATTTTGTTACGTATTTTTCTATTTTTGTTTTCTTTTTGGCACCGCGACACGCTTCTCCGTTTTTTTGGGAGAGATTTCGTTGTTTGGCTTTTGATTTTCTACTATTATTGCACTTGTTGCCGCCGCTGTGAAATTCATCTCGGGCGTTTTTTTAATGAGTGGCTGTTTGCAGGCCAGTTGTATAACTGGCGCACTGCATATATTCATTTATATCAATCAAAGCGGAATATACAGCTTATAAACATTGTCTTTGTTTTTGCCTTTTGCAGTTGTTTCTTCCAACGTCACTGGAATTCAACTACGGCTTCTGTGTTCCGTTACAAAGCGCTCACTTATCACTCTCTCTTTCTCTCTCTCTCTCTCTAGCCACCCACTCTCTCCGCTCTCTGCCTCACACACGCACACTAGAACATGGCTGTTACGTAGTTGTTTTTGCCAAACAAATATTCCGTTCACTTTATAAGTTAATATGCATTAATTGCATAAATGTGGCGTTTCTTGTAGGGGGCGGGGCGGGGAATTTACTGGACTTGCAAACTGCAGTTGGTTGAACCCGCGCACACACTCGCACACCCACGTTCAAATTGGCGGAGAAGAGAACCCGGCGCACCGATTGACGATTGGCGACTGAAATCAAAATCAAACTCGCCAAATCGAACGAAAGATATAAAATAGAAATGGAAATGGTACCATCAACGCACAGCACACAACCGTTGCGAAAAGCGGAAAACGCGTGAACCAAACAAGACGCGATAATATCACATTTTGTTGCTAATATTCTGTTTGACGACAGAGTTCAAAACGGAGCCACGCGAAAATAGCAACAAAGCGATTTGCGGAGAGTAAAAGTGCAGTTGCTGTAGTGTGAGTGTGTGCGTGTGACTTCCATCACGTCAATTTTCAGCGATCGCGATGGAAGGCTGCCAGACTATGTAAAAAGCATACGGTCCGGTAGCACTTCGTGTAGCTTGCCAAGCTTTTTTGACATTTGGAAAAGCTAATTACTGCGCGCGCATTTCAAATTCCACAATCTATTGTTTCAAATATAAACCTGCTATAAAGTACGCATCCATACCTAAAAATATTTGATACCCACAAAAAGTATTTACTTATAAATGAATTTTTTCATTTTCAATGTATATTAAAATATATAAAAAAAACCAGATGTTCTTATTTTCGCAAATGTTCAAATCCAAACAAACTACTTTGATCATATGTTAGAAAAATTGGTTTATTGAGATATTTTTTGCCAGCTAACTGGTACAGTGGGTCACTATGGGTATACATATACATGACGGGGCTTTTATGTAGATATTATTTTAGATCTGAATGTTTACTAAGATTAAAAAATATTTATTTTTTAGTTGGTGTTCCATTGTACATACATATATGCACAAAGAATTGTACACGTTCGAATATTTACATTTAATTTAGCACATGTACCACGTGTATGGTGTTAAATAAATAATAAATTAGCATAAAGCAAATAGCTTATAGCGATTATAGAGAGAGGGGAGCTGAATGCATTAATTCTTTCTCCATAAGGTTATGAAATGCGCTCTCTGGGCGACGACATTTTAGTGGCTTTACACTCGTTTTATCTTCTATAAAATATTACGTATAGCGTTAACTAGGTAGAAGAGTGTTCTCCGAATACGATCAGACACCATTTAAGTTAGTGGGGGTTAAGAGTAGAACGTAAATTGCACTAGGCCATATACTTAGACATAAGCTTAAATTGTCACGTGCTGGAACTTAAATACAGGTACGATTTAGCAGCGGTCGCGGTTGTTATACGCCTTCACCTTGGCCACGGTGCACTCGAGGGCTGCCCGAATGTCGCTGAACACGGGCACACCCTGCCTTTTGGCCAAGTCGATCAGGTACGACCGTCCGCGATTGTAGTCCTTGATGGCCGCCACAGTCAGCTGGCAGGAGAAACATAGCGCTTTGTTAATATAAGTTAAAAGGAAATCAACTTCGACAACAGCTCACCTTCTCGCCACCCAGGACACAGTCTTCCGGCAGCATTTGCACCGCCAGCACCACGTTGTACATGAGGCCAATGCAGTGGGCTGCCAGGGTCATGGGTGCCAGGGATCGGGTCTCGTTGGTGATGACGAAGAGCAGCACTCGACTGGAGTCGAGCAGGGAAGGGTTGAACAGGCTCTGGCGAACGGTGACCGGTGCTAGGGACCAGCTCAGTGACTCCTCGGCCACTGTCAGCTCCTCCTGCTCCTCCAGCTGCAGCTGGTTGCCCCTGCACTTTCTGCGAGTGCGCACAAACGAACGCTGCTGCTGCTGCTGTTCCTGCGGGGGCACTGTTTGCTGCTGAGCCTGTTCCTGGTTCTGTTCCTGGTTCAGAATCATTTGCTGGATGCTCTCATGCAGCGCCGGGGTGTGGAAACTGACACTCTTGGACTGCAGGTAGGGGACGGCCAGCTCCTGACGCCACTTGGTGCGGAGCACACAACTTCCGCCGAGATAGACATCCCGCAGATCCAAGCCACCACCACAGCAGAGTACATCGCCGGCACTTGCTATGGAGCTGCTGCTGGAGAAGACCGAGTCGTTGGAATCACTCTCCTCCTCCTCGGCGTGCACAACAGTTGGTGCAGTCACCGGATTGGGCTTGGTCTCAATGGTTTTGGTGGTGATTATTTCCGTTGTCTCGATGGACTCCACGTTTAGCAGGATCTGTGGTCGAGGGCTTTTACCCAAACTGCTGGTGGGCTGGGGCGAAGAAGTTCCACTGTCCCGGCTGCGACTGAGCTGCTCGAAGAGACTCTGGCGCTCCAGGTCATGTCCGATGCCACTGCTGCTATTGGACGGAACACTGGCGTTGCTCGACGTGCGCGAAATATTCTTGTTGGCCGAGTAGTAAATGTCCACATCGGGAGCTGAGTAATAAATTGGACATTAATAAAGCTTGTAGAACTAAATTTCTCTAGTTTGGCTCTTACCGTTGGTAAAGTAAACTTGCGGTGGCGGCACATTGGTGCCCTTGATGGGCGAAATGCAGCCGCTCTCGTGGATCTCCTGCTGCAGGACGGACAGGTACGCCGAGATCACACAAAACAGATCGAAGTCGATGAGCTCCTGGCTGGGCAGGATGGGCTGGCTGCAGTTGCCGCCACCGGCATCCACATCCGAATCATCGGCGACAGCTCTTGGACTGTGCGTTTGGAGCAATTTCAGCGATTCGCGTTGGTTGATAATGATCTTATTTAGATTGTCTAAATTAACTAAACTCTGAGCATAGCCTAGGAATAAGAGAGCACGTTTGCATTGTTCCACAGTGAGCAGATCGTTTTGCGGGTTAACACGATCAAAGGCGCCGCGAACGGTACTAGAAAGTGCAAGATACACAAGTTAGTTGATAATGAATTGATTAGATTCTGAATAACTTACTCTAAAATAGAAGATATTTTGGACGGTGGATCCCTGATGCCAGACAGGATATCCTTGGTGCGCTGCAGACCCAGAGGTATGTTATCCAATACGGGCAGACCGCGACGGGAGACCAGCTCCTTAAGTATCAACTGATTGCGATATAGATCGAGGTATTCTCTGAAATATAACAACGAAAATTTAATTACTGAGATTAAACTGTATGCTTGTGAAAATATTTGCACAAGATTCGGATGAACACACAAGTTAAAATGAATGCGCAATATTAAAAATACGTACTGCTGCGAAATAGGCTCATTGAGGATCTTCTGATTTGGTTTATACGGATGCAAAACCAACACCAGCTGCTTGCAGTTTTGACCCGCTATGTGTGCCGCCTCGATGGCACCAGCAGATGCGCGTGTTTCCGAATCCATAACGAAGAATAATACACGGGCCTTTTCCTTAGCTCGATGCTCGAGCTCGATGAGATCGGGCGTCCAATCGGATACTTGCTGTTGGACAAAGGAAGGTAACAAAATAAGTTTGGCTTCACGGGAGGTGTTCCCTCATCAGGCATACTCACAGGATTGTAGAACGAAATGCCCAGCTCCTTGAGGGCTGGTATGGCAACGTCGGCTCGCCAGGTGGTTGGATTGCAGGATCCGCCAAGGAACACCTCGACGGGCTCATTGGTGGCGTTCTTCTTCTTTTTGGTATCATCCACACTGCTAAAGGACTTGGTACTCCTCAGTTCGGTACCGTGGTTGTCCGGCTTCTTGGAGCTGTACGCAGGTGACGAGTTGCTGGCCGCTGGCGACTGCAGGTGTTGCTTGGAGGAGCTGGCAGGATCATCTTGCTCCGGGAGCAGCAGTCCCGAGGACAGAGACTGATAGTCGCAGTACGATGGCTGATTCGAAATGGTTGAAGCTCTGCGGAGACGAAGATAAATGATATGTTTTATTAAAATCTTTTATGTTTTTATTTTGATGTATAACTTTTATGGCAACTTACCTGAAGCGTTTCAGATCCGCGGCTAAAACACAAAACTGGCCAAAGGTCAGCCCGTTTGCCTGTCCACTTCCTCCCTTGCGGGCCACTTTCTTGGCAGTCTGCAGCATTTCGCTAACTGTTTTGAAACAAATAAGTTTAATACGTATACTTGATATTTTATTTACCGAGCACTTACTCTGCTTTTGGCTAGGATGGAAGCTTAGCTCGTGGAAGAGTTCCTGTGTCCGCTCGTCGGGCACCACATTGCATCTGGCCTTTGCTCGCCATGCATTCAGAACTTCTCTGTAAGAACAAAAAGAGGGAAATCATCAGTGGGGAGCCATAAATTGGTAGCTTTGTTGGAGATTTATAAATAACCCCAGTGAGGTAATCACTGATTGGTCGATTTATGGCCTTATTACACAATTTAACGATTTATTGGCCTCCCTAAAGATTTGTGGAGCATATTGTAGTATATTTTATAAAATTATTCATGCACTTGTAGCCGTTGAAGGAAATGAAATGATGTGCATATGAGCCCAGAGGTAAACAAAATGATTAAATCAATAGTGCTGACAAAGAAAGTATTTGATGATTCATAATTGCATAAGGGATTTAATTGATCACGTCGTAGCTTCTACACGAATGTAATCATTTTCAATACGAAATTAGAGAGTTAATCAAATGATTACCTTATTATGAGTTTTTTTATACTAAAAACAAATCGTAAAACTGCTTTACAATCCCGCAAGGCACTACTGTTTTAGATCGGTTAACTCACAACTCAAAATGCCCAAATAAATCAACTCGGGAAATTACTTCAACGAGTTGCCTCCTTATATAGATGGATTACGACAATGAACCCGCCCAAGGACACAGAAGCCGAACAAATTCCGAGTTTTAACTTGTATATATATCGAATAAATCATTATAAATCAGAATTGTACGCCAGTCACGTTTCCCGGGGCCGACACATGTTTTAAAGCCACCAATTTGAGTCATGTAAGCGCGAAAATGGAAAAGCGAAGTGCAAACAATGCCAAAATAGTAAATACATGGAAATATTACGAGATTTGTGTGGCAGCTTCGTTGGCTCCTTCTGTGTCTTCCGTGTTTTGGCAAGAAATCACTGTCATCGTCGTCGTCAGAAGCAACAAAAATATCATTGACAATTGCATCATTTGTGCAATGGAAATTCAAATATCGCGTATACGTAGCGTATGCCAGCCACAATGGGAGAAAAACAGATTGGAACGGGATGGCAAGTAGCTAAATGGGTAATATTTATCGTATATAGCTGAACAATACTTTGCGGCGCAGTTACTTGATTTCCATTTTATTTCGAAACTGTTTTCGCTTTTTTTTCCTCTTTTCGTTCTTATTTATTTCACTTGGTTGGAGCTTGAAATGGAAAACGCAAATATAATTCATCCACAAATTCGCTTATATTTCTTAATATATCTTTTGCGTTCTTGACCATTTGCACAGCACAAAACAAATAAATAATTAAATGTTGTAATGAGTGGCGTTAAAGGTTTGGAAATTATTTTTATTCCATTCCCGGCTTTATTCCGCATACGATTCAAAATCACGACTGAACTCAAGAGCGATCTTTGTTAATACAAGTATATTCCATTCGGTGCCGAGAATTATTTCATTTGATTACTGGCTTATCATTTACAGAGAGCTATTTTGTGAAATGACGTCAAGTGAAGTGACAAATAGCAGACGGAAAAACAATTAAAAAGTTATTTAAAATAAATATGAAGAACAAAGTATTTAAATTAACTTTTACATTTATTCGTAGATTAACTTTTATTTCGTAGACTAAATCAGGAACGATCATAATTGAATAAAGGCCAAACCTTGTGCGTCTTTCAAGATACATTTGAATTCCTTTAAAAATATTATGAAATATTAAATTAACAATATTTTTTGGTATATCATATATTATATCACCTGTCTATTTACAAACAAATTTACCCCTTTCCCTATTCGGCCAACACGCATCGGCCAAAACGGGTGAGCGTCTGAAAAATCATGAATGAGGAGCAACATTTTTGGTTTTATAGCTCTACAAACTTGTCTTTTAACTGTTTAACTGTTTGGGCCGCTACCCACTCAAACCAAACATAGCTATGTAACAAAGGAGCCAAGAAATCCCAACAGCGAAGTGGCAAAAGCAAGTCCCAATACCAGGCGATTACGTCAGAAAGGGTTTAGAAAGGGAAGAGAAGGCTGATGCAACTATCAGCCGTTTTGTCTGCCAATTTAGCTATTTAAATGGTAAAATAAAATGCATTTAACAGGCGAGCATAATAATAGTGCTAATAAACTATGAAATATGGAATAGGCCTAAAAGACCGCTCACTAAATACAGACTATCATTCCTGTTGCATGTTTTCTTAGCTGCTCCAAGTCTGTGCTCCCAATTTCTGGCAACACAGACTAGTTGGCTGTGGAACAACTCAAGACCAAGTGCAGGCGGCGGTCAAACTCGTCTAGATGCCAATTACATGACTGCATCACCATCACCAGCACCAGCACCATCCACATCTACATCAGCATCAAGCGACTAGGCACGCCCACAGCCCCACATCATTCACTAAATTTGGCCTGGCCTCTCTTTAAGTTTTATTTGGTTCTGGCCTGGCCTTCTATTTTTGGCCAGCTTCTGCCTCTGTTTGCCCGTCGCTTTCGTGTGGGTGAAGTTGCGCCATATATGTTAGGTTTACTTTTTTGGAATTTTTATGGCAAACAGACGCAGCAGCCGCAGAATTTATGCTTTGTTTACCACAAACACGGCAGAAACAGAGAGATCACATCCATAAAGTGGAGGAGCAACGGCCACCAGTCGACGCTCAAATTTGGCTGTCGAAACATTTCCGGGATGAGGAAAAGGAGGTTCGGTGCACACGAGGAAGTGCAGCAACGATGCAATTAAAGGATTTTCAATTTTGGTCATAAGTGCAGAAGCAGCTGTAGGATCATTGTGCTCGGTTTATATTTAGATGATATATTTCCTGTAAATAATATAGAACTGCGTATGCAGATGCACAAAGTGCATATGCTTTTATAAATGTTACAAGAAAACGCATTGATCTTTGGCGAATAGTACACGAAGACCCACATTGTAATGTTCCAGATGCATGTGGTTAGAATGAAGTATGCCCATTGAATTACCACCATATAAGGAAATACTATCAAACTGCGGATGGCTTACAATATGGGTACTTTCCATTCCCTGCTCCAAAAATCAAACAGGTCACGGATGATTCACAAGCGGCTCATGATGAAATTGTGGAACCAGATGGATTCTTAGAACCCGACATGATGAGCTACTAAAACTGCGACGAAATTTAGTGGTAAACATGTTTTGCGTTTTGACCAACCGAGTTGAAAAACAAAAACAATATAGGGAACATAATAAGGTACGCAAAAATGCCGGAATGATTGGCTACCGGAAATACGTGGTGACCCATTAAAAGGTGGGCAGATAAGGCCAAGGTAACGAGCCAAGGTCCTTTCCTTCTTTGTATCTTTATCTCACATTTACTCTGGCCCTACGTGCTTAAGATAACGATATACTAACCGTTTACAAATGAGTTAAGACGAGGCAATCTATAGGCCTCCCTCTCGGTAGCCAGCAGAATTGGCTTATGATGAAATCCTAGTAATATATATTAGTAATATACATTAGGCCATCAAATGCGGAGATAAAAACGGAGTATATGTGATTCATTCGATAGTGCAAACAATCATTGTTGATTACACTTTTATTTGCCTTATTATCTTGTCAATGAAAGAATGTGGAAATCAATAAAGTATATTTGTTTCATGAAAAAAGTATAGCTTATCTTATATCTTGCTTTTCTGAATGAAGGCTTATGAATGGCATGTTAGATATATTTTTCATTAAGAAAGCTATGCCTTTCAAGAGAAAAAGATTGGCTGAATAATTTCATCGAGAAGACGCTTAAAAATCCGATTTTGTCCAGTCAGCTCACTAGCTATTTCCTGCCTTTGTCAACGGATATCTATGGATCAATGTATTCAGCAGATGAGCATTTCCGCAAATGATAAATGGACTTTTCCAAACAAATCGCACGCAACACTTTTGGCCAGAGGCCAAGCTGAATGGCGCTGCGGTCAATGTGCAAGTGTGCAATCTTACAGCTAACAGATACCCATTGAGAAATGCATTTGTGGAAATGATTTCATTGACCCACGCTCCCCGTCGACTGCCATATAAATCAGTAATAAACAATTTCCGAATACAATTGAACAAAGTGACAAAATGTACATTGAACTCGGCGCGTGAGAGAAGAAAGGAAGATTAAGTGTTGCTAGTCGCATCATCAGCAGCAAAACACAATAGTAAACATGCTTTTTCCATTTGACAGTTTTTAAACTTGGCGGGAAGAGGTGTTATGATGTTATTATGAATCGGCCAAAAGCAACAGCGAGCTTTTGACTGACTAAACGTTGTGTACATACATATATTTGCATTTAACAGCTTGTAAATCAAGCGCACAAGTTTATAGAACACATGTCAACCACACGCGGATTAATCAGCAGTCATCTATGCAAAGATGTAGGCAAATCTCAAAGAGAGGTGTGTTTCGCACTACACTCAAAGAAAATTTAAAGCTGGGCTATGATACGTACTCGTACATTAAATAGGTAATGATATTTATACTCCACCACCAACTAAGATCCTTGTTATGGGGTTCAACGTTTTGATATCAAGCAATTCTTAAGGAAACATTTGTTTGCCGATTGATAAGAACAATAGATTTCTAATCAATTTTGTCACAATAAGCAATCAATAACCAGGAAAAAATAGATTTTATTTTAAGGACTATACAAAACTAACTTACAAAAAAAAAATTGTAGTTCAAATTATTTAAAATGTGTTTAAAAATAACTTTTAAGAACATTGTAACTTTTCAGTTAGTGATTTAATGTATGTAAAGGGATTTAAGTTTTTAAAACCTACATCAACTTGTCAATAAAAGGGATAGAAACAAAATTCCACATAAAATTACAATTTAAGGAACATTTTTTCTTGAAGTGTATGCTTGCACAAGACTTGTGGCGCCCTCACCAGAACACACACACTCATGTACACTCAATCGCTCTCTGTTGGTAACAGGTAGAGCGAGATATAGAGTGAGTGAAAGAGAGAGAGGGGCGCTGGTGGGCCAAAGAGGTGGGAGGGGGCAGTGGGGGCCAGTGCAGCTTGCTCAGCGACGACTCGTTTCAATACAAACAGACCGAGCCACCAACACCAGCGCAACTCG